TGGACGTCGTGGTAAAGATGAGAAGGGTATTTGTATTATAATGATTGACGAAAAGGTAAATTTATTGCTGGCACCATGTATCTCAGTTTAAGATTTGGGAAAAATAAAATTTTAGAGTAAATTCTCCTTGAAAAATGTATCTAATAGAGAGTTACTTTCCATATCTTGTTATCATTTGGCAGTAGCCATTATAATTTGGAAATTGTCTTCTGGTTGATGAAGCTTTAGAACAAATTGAAATTCCTATTTGAACTTCTATACATTCAGTCGTATCAAGACTAAATTGCTAAATAACTGCTATTCCTTAACTTCCATGGTTAAAATATGACTGAAAAAAGCAAGACAGATAGGAATGTCAACAAATGGCAAAACTCAATACTGTATAAATAAGTGTTGCTACTGAACTAACCCTCTGGATAGGAATAGGTGTGTCTAAGTAGGAGGCGACACTTGAGCTCTTGCGAGATCAAGAATTATGCTAATATGTCAGTCGGTTCAAACCTACATCTAATCATATGTGACCCTTAGGACATGAAATTTGCTATTCCAAGTATATTAAAAGACATGATTTAACTAAACTTTTCATTAAAAACTGTACATTACTTTTTGAAATCAGATGGAAATGAATGTCCTTAAGGACATGGTTCTGGGTAAACCAGCTCCATTGGTCAGTACTTTCAGGCTAAGCTACTACTCTATCCTGAATTTAATGACTCGTGCTGAGGGACAATTTACTGCTGAGCATGTCATCAGAAATTCCTTTCACCAGTTTCAGTATGAGAAGGTTTTCCCTGAAAAATTCCCTTATTTATTTTCATATATTTTTGGATCTTGGTTGATAACGTCTAAAGTTCTTCTTTAGGCATTGCCTGACATTGGGAAAAAGGTCTCCAAGCTGGAAGAGGAGGCTGCAGTGCTTGATGCTTCTGGAGAGGTCTAGTTATTCTGATTATTTATGCTTGCAATGCATTTTTTAAATCATATTCTAATATTTTCTTGTTAAATTTTAAGGCTGAGGTTACTGAATATCATAAGCTACATCTTGAGATAGCCCAAGTTGAAAAGAAAATGGTGGCAGAAATTATGCGGCCTGAAAGAGTTCTCTATTTCCTTCAATCTGGTAGGCTGGTAAGTGAGAAGATAGGTGTTTGTATATTTTATATATGCTTCGATCTAGAATAATGTGAATAACATCTATGTCTTCCTATTGTAACTTCTGTTCATTTGATCAGCTTGCATGTCACTCTTTCCTTATTTGCGATTCCCCTGCTACATCTTTTATATTTTTGCTCTGTATTGTTTTCTGTTATATGCTGCAGTTCATTTTGCTTTACATATTTGGTGTTTTGCTCTATTAATTTAAAGCTTTACTCAAAGGGGATTTGAAAGTGTTTTTCTGAGTTCATTGTGATTCTTTCCCTCCATGGCTGCTCCTTTTTACTTCTATGTGATGTTGGAGTGAAGTTACGAGAAGAGAGGCTTTGGGCAGTCACTTTGAGACAAAACTGGTTTTTTACTGATTTTTTGAATGTAATGATGCTTAAATCCCTTTACTCCCCCTCCTGTGGGTTGTTTTTGGTTTCACTTTTCTGTGTTGTTTCTGGTTTCACTTATGCATTCTCTGTGTCTGAGCTACTTTTGTCGAACTGCAGGTTAAAATAAGGGGAAGTGGCAAAGATTGGGGTTGGGGAGTTGTAGTCCATGTGGTGAATAAAACTCCAGCTGCATTGGGTTCTATGCCTGCGGCGCTTGCTTCTTCCTGTGGTAGTAGTTATATTGTGGACACTTTGCTTCACTGCTCTTTTGGCTCAAGTGATAATGGTTCTCGACCCAAACCATGTCCTCCCTGTCCTGGAGAAAAGGGGGAAATGCATGTGGTATGTTGATAGAATCTTGACCGAAAAATTCTCTGACAAAGCTTATTGTGCATTGCAATTTAGTCCGACTGGAGCATGAATTATGAAAATAAATGCCCTTTAGAAAATAACATTGATTTCTTTTTCTCAGGTTCCTGTTCAGTTGCCTCTTATTTCTGCAGTCAGCAAGCTCAGGATTGCTGTTCCTTCTGATTTACGGCCAACAGAAGCTAGACAGAGTGTTCTGCTTGCTGTACAGGAGCTTGAAAAACGTTTTCCGCAGGGCATTCCAAAGCTTAATCCTATGAAGGTATGCAATCTTACATTCATATTTAGACTATCCTAATTGACATTATTTTCTTATATGGATTTGCTGAAGATCATTTCTCATTGTTATCTCCAGCTAATCCTGATCTCATAAAGCAGCCTTATGTTTAATCCCTAATTTGTATGAAGTTATGAACCATGTTACTATCACGGTCCAACAGTTTACTTGTACCTCGGTTCTTTGTTGAAATTATTAAAGCCGTCGATATATTATATTTAGCAACGGAACTCTTTTCATTTTTTGTTGAAGTGTCAGTCACAGTATCCAAGTAAGCAACAAAATTGATGCAACTACTTATTTTTGTTTTTGTTTATTCATTATTATCCTAAAATCAAAATAATTCCTACACTCATAGGTAAGACTAATATGAATTGAAAACAAATATAGAAGTCCATCCTACCAACACACAAGAATGGAACAATAACAGAGGCAGGAAAATAATAGTTTTCAGTCATGATTATTTGTTTTTATTGGCCAGAGGCAGCGTCAGCACAATTATCATTGCTGCTCGTCTCAGTCCATGTCACAGTTGAATTTCTTGAATCTTTCCTCTTCTGGCAGAGACCAACTATAATTAAAAAACTTTGTCTGTGACATGCTTTTACATTTGCCCATTTAGTTACCTTGTCTTCATGATATCCAGAACCAGAGGGCAGAATGTTTTTCCATAGATCCACATGCGGTGTTTCATAATTTTCATTATTAATGAAAAGCTTATATTAACCTGTGTTGACATCTTTTCCGAGGAACGGCGATATATATATTTCTAACATTTGTGCCTTTTGTCAGGACATGGGAATTGAAGAACCTGGAGTTGTTGAGCTCGTTAACCAGATTGAGGAACTTGAACAGAAATTATTTTCTCACCCATTGCATAAGGTCTGAAAAAGTTTATTTTTTCCCTTTCCCGCCAAAACGTTTGTTTCGGCTAGTTGCTTCTACCTTCCCTATGTAGAAACATCTGCGAGTTGGTTCTTTATAGAGGCATTGGCTTATTTTTGTGAGAAAATACCCTTCATGTTTAAAAAATGTAATGACATGCCCTGTTTTAAGTAATATATTCATTCCCGACTACCTTTTGATTCATATCTCAAAGTAAACAATAGGAAAATAAATTGTTGCATTGCCCCTGTTTGGTTTTGTTATAAATCCGAGTTTTATGGATTTAGTTTTTAGTACCATTTGTTACCAAAGTCTTCAACAAATATTAAGTTGAGATTTCCCCTAGCATACATACTTAGAATTGTGTATGCACAAAAAGGGTATTCTTATTTAAAAGAAACAAATTAAATTGCGATAGTAGAAAATTCCGTCTTTAGTTCACAAGGACATTTAGGTGTATCAACCTCATTTGAGATTAGCTATGACTGACAAAGTGGTGAGGGGTGAATATGATACTCAAAACTAGAAATTGGGGAGCTAGTATATTTATTAAATGTGTGAGAATATATATGGTATTGTATTTAGTTTTATTTTATTCACGTTTATGCTATGCAGTCTCAAGATGAACATCAGATTAGAAGTTTCCGCAGAAAATCAGAATTGAATCATGAAATTCAACAGCTAAAGTCCAAAATGCGTGATTCACAGGTATTTGTTGTTTGTTGGATGCTCCTCTAGATGCATGTACATGTACATATGCATGTTCATATATCTGCTGATTAGCTGCTGTCTATGTGTATGCCTTCTTTGGTCCTGTCTCAATTGCTACCTCATGTCTGTATTCAGCTTCAAAAATTTCGCATTGAACTTAGAAACCGCTCACGGGTTCTGAAAAAGCTGGGGCACATTGATGCTGATGGTGTTGTTCAGTTGAAAGGACGAGCAGCCTGTTTCATAGATACAGGAGATGAGCTCCTTGTTACTGAATTGATGTTCAATGGTGAAGGCTCTATCATTGATCTTTCAAACTTATGTCTGCTGTCATTTCTTTTCCACACTTAGATATGTGTTGAGCAGCGTTTAATTTTTCCCAGCTGGAAATTGCATGTTATGGACCAGTCCCATATGGAATGTTAGTTTATCATAGCATCACATTTTTTTTTTTTTCAGGTACCTTCAATGATCTTGATCATCATCAAGTCGCTGCTCTGGCAAGTTGCTTCATTCCAGGAGACAAATCAGGGAAAATAGATGTAACAGCAGTACTTGTTAAACCACTGCAACAGCTTCAAGACAGCGCTAGAAGAATAGCAGAGGTGTGTTCAGCTTTTTACACATGCTCATATGTGCGTTAGATCTAATTTTATTATCTACAGTGGCGATCTGCAAACCGAAAAAAGAGACATATTGCAGAGCATGGTAAATGACAACTTGAAATTTTGCCTCAGATACAACGTGAATGTGGACTCGAAGTACACGTGGAGGAATATGTTGAGGCAGCAGTCAGACCATGCTTGATGAATGTGATCCACCTGTGGTCAGAGGTTGATTTAGTGACTTGTGTTTTTTCAGTAGATGGCATGTTAAACTACACTCTTATTCTTATTTGATGCCTCTAAATTTATCACTTGGGATATGATTAATATTCTTGGTCAAATGAAACTTTTAAGAAATTTTATTTGCAAAAAAGCAACTTAGATCGATTGCTTGGTTTTGAGTCGGTGCATCTTTTCAAATATGTTGGTCTAGATCATGTCTAAACTCATTGTTTCTCTAAACTCTCTTTTTTCAGGGAAAATCTTTTAAAGTTGTTATAGAAGAGACAGACATCCTCGAAGGTAGCATTATACGACTAGTTAGAAGGCTGGATGAATTTTTAAACCAGGTAATCCAATCGATTGTCATAAATCCTATGAATTTTTCATTTGAGCAAGAGTACATAAATAGGTGAACATGACATGCAAAATGGGGCCTTTTCCAATTGGTTGGTTTAACAATTTGAAGAAAAGTAAAATATAATTGTCGAAATAGTTTGGTTTAACGATTTGAAGAAAAATAAAATATAATCATCGAGCCTTTCTAGCAAATGTTAGGATAGGATGCATGAATTGTTGGATGCCTTTACTTCTGGACCATTTTTGGTCCCTTTCCATGAAGGTATCTCTTCTTCAGGCCAACGGATGGCTGGACAATTCTGAAATGCTGTTAATGTTATATAATACAGCTAGTATGACCTTATACTGTACGTCAATTACCAAACCAGCACTTGAAGTTCGTTTCAAGACACGGATTATATGCCGATCTTTAGTTTACTATCTTATTTTTTCGGGTTTTCCAGTTGAAAGCTGCTGCTCATGCGGTCGGGGAAGCTGATTTAGAGAACAAATTTGCAGCAGCTAGTGGAAGCCTTCGTCGAGGGATAATGTTTGCAAATTCACTCTATCTCTGAAATTGTAGACTCCTAGTCAGCTTCATAAATATTTATAATATTTGCCAATTCACAGTGTCTCTGAATTGTAGATAGTAAATTAGCTTCTTAAATATTTTTGATTAGTCTATAGTGTTTCTAAGCCTAGTTTTCAAAGAACTGTGTTAGCGCCATCATGTCTTTCTTTTCCTTTTCTTTCTATTTTAATTTAACATTGTGTACAAACGCAACAGTAGAGTAATGAGGAAGATAATTCTTTTAAACTTGTATGAGTTATTTTCCTATTTGTAAATTAGGGTTGATCTGTCGAAAGATTTTTGGTCGCACGTGGACGGTCAAATGCGCATGCTTTTCATTGAAATGGAGATAAATGTTGAGCGAGTTGACAATTTTGTCCTTCAGCTGCAAGTCATGTGAACTCATCAGCAATTTGAACATATTTATTATTGATTTCGGTCATTTGAGAATTCAAATCAATCAATTTCAATAAGGGATAAAACTATTTGTACACAAGCATTTGTACAATTTTTTACATACTCGACATTTGGCCGCCCCCTATTGACAGCCGCCCCAAGTGTCGAGTGTGTAAACCATTGTGTAAATGGCTGTGTGAATGTAGCATGGTCCTTTAATAAGTTAAGGGTTTAAAATCTCACTTTTGAAAATTAGGGATTCATAACCACACCAGGTAAAAGGTAGAAGAGCCCAACCCTAAGAAAGGTGTTCCTTCAACCTCGAAAGTTATCTGATTTCCTAAACATTCGATCTGCCAAAAGCAACCAAATTATTTGTTGCTAAATCGGGCGAAAACTTGAGCTACGTACCTCTCTTTTCAAGGATTTCATAATTGGACGGTAAACTCATTTCGAGTATCAAATAACAATATGAAAATGTTGGTCAGAAGCAAATAACTTGCCATACTCCTTGAACTCATCTATAACCTTGCAATAACTACATTATGCGCTCTAAGTTCCGAGATAATTTGCTCAAATTTAATTTTTAAACAAGGTTAGGTTAGGTTGGTTGGGTGTGAAAATGTGAAAATTTGAAATGAAATCAACCCTCTGTGTAATTTAATACGCTTTTGAGAAAAGATTTAACATTTTGACAAATATATCTGCCACTGTAATATAAGGTACACGTATAGGGGATAATGGTGAGTCAAATAATTTATAGTTTTAATTTCTCTTATAAGCCTGGCAATGATCATTAATTTTTGTCAAACCCTGGGACTTAGGACTCTCCATTTTTGTATGATTTTGAAAGGAAACGAGGTACAGAAATTTTGCAGATTAAAGCGTGTAATGTCCAGACAAATAATAAAACACAAAGACTATTTAAGTGCCTTTTTTTTTGAAATAATATCAGAAACACTCTTACTTTTCTGATGATACCATAGTTATTTCTTCAAGTTTCAAAAATATTTTTAATCTTTCCAATTTTTAGATTTGAGTATAACATACACCATAACCGCTTTTTTGAGTTATATATTTCATCCTACATTGAGTCGAGAAGAAAAATGTTTCAATTTTTTTACAATTAATTATAATTTAGGTTGTTCAAAGTAAACTATATAAATTGACATATTATATATAAAGCACATACAATATAAATAAATTTTAATAATAGAAATTTACAGGTCAAGAGTGCTGGTTAACTACAGGTAATTGTGTAGAGTCCGTATGTTTTCCTCTGCCCCGGTGACCTCGCTCTCCTGTACTTGAGTATTTGGGCTTCCAGTTGATAAATACCTCATATTCCCTACTCTATTGGTCAAGTAACTTAGCCATCCTTACGACCTCATTGTTGAAAAAAGATAATTTAAAAAATGGATTAAATGACTAACTTTGACACAACATTTGAGTGGAACCCAATTGGTTATTTTGGAATTTCAAGATTGATTTGTGTTCTCCTCCTTGAGAACATCGAAATCATGCATTTACTTGCCAAAAATGATGTTCGGGTTAACAAGGAATTGGAGCTCAAAATGTGACAATTAAAAGGAGTTTATGTTGTTGAAGGGAAACTATTTAAGGTTGTCCCATATAGAAAAATTATGAAAAATAAATACCACTTTAATTAGGATTGCACTTTAGAATGGTGTGATAATGTATAGCATAGAAGCTCTCTTTACGTGCAAGCATAGGAAGGCAAATCGAACTAAAATAAGCTTTGGACGTGGAAATTGAACCCTTAGAAGAGCCTACATTTTGATAAATTTTTTCCTCCAACTGACCATTGGAATTCCGAAACTTCCGAAATTCCAATATTCATTGTCATTATATACGAGTTAATAGTATTCATGGTGTTGAGCCTATAAATAAAACCCGATTTCTAAGAATTCTAAACAAGAAGTAAAAAAGAGAAAAACAAACACTGTATACAGTTTTCTGAATAATTTATAGAACATTGTTTTTGCATAAATTTTCATATAGAATATAGTTTTGTGTCTATCTAAAAGTTGGTTGGTGATATTGTTCAACACAAATTATGTTCGCTCGAGTAGTGTTTGAGTTACTCAAATTCTACTATTTATCCATTGTATCCTGAGAGACAAACGTCCAATTTAATATTCAAGTACCTACGGTGAGGGGACGATTCTGTTTTAAGAAAAAAGTGTTCACACAGGCCTCGGTTAAAAAAATTTCTTGCTTTTAGCTAATTAGTTTACTTGTTCTGTTTTATTAAAAATTAATTTGCATTATTTGGCCAATTAGATTAATTTGCTCAGTTTATTGCAATTTAATCTGCTATATTTTGGGTAGTATCCAAGTTCAATGCATATACGGTATATGCAAATACGTTAAACTGTTATATATACGATAAGCGGTTGCAAATACGGTAAGCTGTTGCAAATACTGTAAGCTGTATATACAGTAAGCTACAAATACAATAAGTTGCATATATGGTAAGCTGTATATACGATAAGTTGCATAAATAATAAGCTGCGTATACGATATTCGTAAATTCGGTATCTAAATTACATATACGGTATATGTTAATCTGGTATTCATTTTCAACTATTTAATCCAACAAACTTGAAATAGATTGAAAAAAAAAAATTTGGTTTCTTATACTATTAATTTTAGAAACTAAATTTTCGTTTGTTTTTTAGAAATGACAATCGAAGCGACCAACATGGATGTGTTCCAAACTATTGCTATTGGAAATTAGCTTGTGGGCTCTACTGTGGCTCAAGGGCCAAGTTCAGTTGTGACTCAGATTGTGGCTAAATTGTCAAGTTATGCTACGAGCCAAACCGTGGCTCCAACAACTGGTCATACTATTATTGTTCTGGTTAATCATAGAGAAAAATCGGAGAAATTCAATAGCTTGAATTCAAGAAGTGGCAACAAAAAATGCTATTTTACTTGACTACCTTGAATCTTGCGAGATTTTGACAAAAACTGCTCCAAAACTCAATGAGGGTGAGAGAGATGTTCAAACGATCAGTGTTGTTAATGCTTGGAAACATTCGGATTTTCTATGTTGAAACTACATAAAGTACAACTTAGTAGACTCGCTATATAATGTATATAGTACTTTGAAAACTGCTAAGGAGCTATGAGATTCATTGGATATAAAATATAAGACTAAGGATGCTGGAGCCAAGAAATTCATTGTTGGTCGATTCTTAGATTATAAGATGGTGGACTCCAAAACAGTAATCAGTCAAGTGAAAGAACTCCAAGTGATTCTTTATGAGATTTATGTCGAAGGGATGATTTTAAGTGAAACTTTCCAAATGGCTACAATTATTGAAAAATTGTCCTACGCATGGAAAGATTTTACGAATTAACTTAAGCACAAATGAAAGGAAATGAACATCGAAGAATTGATTGTTAGACTTCAAATTGAAAAAGATAACAGAAGTTCAGAAAAGAAGGGGTTCAATCCTATTGTGGGTAAAATGAATGTTGTTAAGCACAGTCAAAGTTCTAAGACTTTAAAGAACAAGTCTAGGACAAATGGCGCTAAAGGTACTAAGCTGGGACCGAAAGAAGGCATTTCTAAGAAGAAATTCCAAGAAAAATGTTTCAATTGTGACAAAGTAGGCTACAAGTCTTCGAAATACAGATTGCCAAAGAAGAATAATAAAGAAGCAAATATGGTTGACTACATGGCACATGATGTGTTGGAAATGAATCTCACAGCAGTCATTTCTGAAATGAACATGGTAGGTTCTAACTCAAAAGAGTGGTAGATTGACACCAGTGTCACATGGCATGTTTGCTCTGATAAAGAGTTGTTCGCTACGTTCGAAACAATTGAGAATGGAGAGAAATTGTTTATGAAAAATTCAGCAACTTCTGAAAATCAAGTGTTAAGGAAATGTGGTTCTAAAGATGACCTCGAAAAATGAGTTGACTCTTAAAAATGTACTTTATGTGCCGAAAATTCGCAGGAACCTTGTGTCTGGATCGCTTCTGATAAGCATGGTTTTCGTATTATATTTGAGCCAAACACGGTTATTTTGTCAAAAAGTGGAATGTTTGTCCGAAAAGGTTATGTTTCTGATGGTATGTTTAAACTGAATGTAATGGCTGTTAAGCCAAAAATGAATAAACTCTTCTTCTTATTTGCTTGAGTTTTCCAACTTATGACATGGTAGACTATGACATGTTAACTATGATATTTTATGTAGATTAGTTAACTTGAAATGCATACCTGCATTCCATAGATTCTAGCCATAAGTGGAAAACTTGTGGTGAGACAAAATTAACAAGGTCATCCTTTAAATCAATTGAATGAAACACAAAATCATTTGATTTAATTTACAGCGATGTATGTGATTTAAAACTTGTACAAACAAGAGGTGGTAACATGTATTTCATTACTTTTGTCGACGATAGAACAAAATACTGTTATGTGTATTCGCTTAAAAGTAAGGACGAAACCATAGAGAAATTTGTTCTCTATTAGTATGAGGTTGAAATCAACTTAATAAGAAAATTAAGGTGCTACGAAATGATCGAGGTGGTGAGCAGAAAGTACCCTTTGCTGGATTCTGTGCACAACATGGAATCATATATGAAACCACTACAGCTTATTCTCCACAATAAAATGGTGTTAATGAACGAAAAAATCGCACCTTAAAAAAATGATGAATGCAATATTAGTAAGTTCTGGGTTACCTCAGAAACCTTTTAAATTGAATAAGACAACATAAGTTTAGAAAAGAAGGGATTCAATCCTATTGTAGCTAATGCCAATGTTGTTGAGCACTGTCAAAGTTCTAAGACTTTAAAGAACAAGTCTGGGA